TATGTTAGTTCCAGGTGTACAGCATAGTGGTTAGACATTTATATAACTTAAGAAGTGATCCCCGATTAGTATGCACCTGACACTATGCAGTTATCCCAATATTATTGACTATATTCCCTATGCTGTACTTACATCCCCGTGACTATTTTGTAACCACCAAGGGAAAAGGTGAAGAGATTAATGTGCACATCCCCTGTTAGAAATGCAGACTTGCCTTTGGGCTAGTGATAAATCTTTTAAAGATTCAGCTTTCAGAGTCAATGATGAAACTGAGGCATGATTGTCATAGGCCCTGTTCAGACACCAGAGAGTCACAAGTAGAGACCTTATTTTATCTTCTCAGATTCAGATTAAACCAGCATTGATGGAATGTCTCTGAAGTCAGAGGCTTGTGTTCACAGCCCTGTCCTGGGCTCTCCACAGCAGTCATGTTGGCACATAACTGTGACCAGTTCTAGACCAGGGCCCCAGGCATCAAAGAAGTTCAGTGGCCTGTTCTGAGTCATCCGGTCATTCAGATAACGGTCATCTGAGTCTTAAGGAATTTCAGATGCAGCCTAGCTGAGGGAAACATTCCAACCAGACTATCTAAAGCTGTGCTGCTTTTTCTGAGGTTTCTTAGACCAATCTTTAGGCAGTCCATTTAGACTGTGTGCAGAGGCCTGTGGGAGCATTTGGACGAGTCTGCCTGATGCGTCTTAACCGTAACCCTATAAGGGAAAATATGCTGGTGCCTCGCTTGAGTGTGGGCTCCTTGCTTCACTGCCACACGAGTCCCTAAGTGCACTTCTGAATATTCTCACACAGTGCCTCACGGTCTTAGCAGAGAGGGGCCCTGACCAGGTGGTGATCGGCCTGTTTGAGGAAATGAACTGGTCAGAATCAGTCTTCCAGCACTTTTGATGTGTACATTCTAAGAATATCACGGGAGACACAGTTACTATGAGAGGAAGGTCCATGGTATGTATCTCTGCAGCTTTCTCATCAAAACAAATCTCAGGAATTTTGCCTGTTACAGAGATTTAGAAACAAAAAAGTGATTTAATTCACCAAACACATAGTGAGTGAGTGTTCTGGCTTCCCGTCAGGCTTTGTGCTAGGCACTCACGGTACAGAGAGAAGTCACGGAGGCCCCAACTTTAGGCTGCCTACTGACTGAAAGAGGAGACAGACAAATTAACCCATAGTTACAATATAAGGTGACAACAGTGATGAGGGTCAGCCAGAGGTGGTGACAACTGAGCTGAGTCTGGGAGCGTAGATAGGTAAGTAGCCTGTTGAAGAGGTGAGCTGGGGTGTGTGTGAGGACAAGATAGGTGTTGACTAAAAAACCGCATGCAGCCTAAGAGAAAGCTTAAAGACTTAATTGAGTCAAACTGACAACAGTTGTCAGGAAGCAAAATCCCAATGGATTGAGAAAATACCCTGGAAAATGGCAGTTTTACAATTTATTTTACATATTAGAATCAAAGGAGGAGGGTTACTTGAAATCCATTGGTGGTAGATTAAGGGGGTGGGCGAAAGCAAAGTGGGGAAATCTCTGGGATTAGATAAAAAGTAAAATGGAGAGACAGGTACTTCTTTTACATTGGTGGGTGCAGGATAGTTAGCAGCTATAATAGCATTTTAGAGCACGTAGAGATGGTAACTGGGACAAGAACAACAATGAGGGATTCTGTAGTTTCCTGCTCTGGTGTGGGGGGTTGTGACTTGAGAGGTCCGGAAAAGGGGATGACTGACATTCCAAGGGCATGTTATCTTAGATGCAAAAAGGCAACAGACAGGCCCACTTAAAGGCAAAGACTGACCTTTGTCAGGGAAGCTACAGGCAAAGGAGGTGACCACTGGCCACGACATGCAACTCAGACCACCCTACTGATACCCTGGCTGCCTGCCTCTTGCAAAAGTTAAAATTATCGAGAGACAAGTTTGGTGGAAAGAAAAGCCGGTTTGTTCAGAATCCCGGCATTCTGGGAGGATGGTGGACTCCTGTCCAAAGGCCACCTCCCCGTTCCTAGACTGGTCAGAAGGTTTTATAGGTGCACAAGAAGAACAGAGGAAACGGGGGAGTCAGCCAGGTAGGTCTGAGGGCTGGCATGCTTCCTGGGGTCTGGTCTGTTGTAAGATGATGTCTTCTTTGGACAAGGCCACTGTGGGCCGGGGCTTTATGTGTATTCCGGAGTCTGGGTGCCTGAGGATTTAAAAAATTGTCCTTTCCAGGTTAGGATTTTGTTAATTAAATGGAATAACAAGGTATGTGTAGTATTAAGAAAGGGAACAAAACAGAGTTCTTCAGTTAATCAGTAAAGGGAGAAACAAAGAGGAAATGACTGAATCTCATGGCAATCTAAATGCAAACCAGCCAGGTTTAATTACAGGCGGCTAGATAGTAAAGGTAAGTCCAATTACGTATCGATTCCCGAATTTCTCCCTTTCACTCTGTGGTTAATTTCGGGCCCTGAGTTTGTAGGACCTGCCTTGCAGGCCTCCCCTGAGCCTGTCAGGTGTTTTCGTCCACACAGGGATGCACTGTGTTAGGGCATACCTCCAGCAGGGAACGCCAAGGTTGGGCCCACAGCATCCTAATGCAGGGGGAAAACTGCGCTGTTCACAAGGGTTACAGTGTGACGCCCAAGGCGGGGAGTGGAAGAGAGATGAATCTGGAAAAAGATGCAGGGGCTAGTTGAGAATCTGATCCGAGGTCAGGAGAAGTCATTGCAAAGGAGAATGCAGGGGACAAGGGCATTTTCTAAAGAGCAGGTTGATCTTGGGCCAGCCATGCTTCACAAAATGTTTAATTGGAGCCTCAAATGTAGCACAGTGGTCCTCAGTGAGGGACATGAGATGGGGTTTTATGAAACCAGTTCCCCAGTGGACGGCAGGTGGGTGGCAGGAGTACGGTTCCTGGGGCTATGGAATGTGCTGTGTATGTGTCTGCGAGGCAGAGGGAGGGTATGAAGTCCACCTCCAGCCCTCAGTCTCCAGGAGCACATGCTTTTATTTTTATGTCATCTCCTTGAGCCGTCTTTTCTTTTTACATCTGGTTTTGAGTCATAGTTAGAAGATCTTTTCCCACACCAAGGTTATAAAAGAATTCACTTGCTATTTCTTAAATGACTTGAGTGGTTTCATTTATTATATTTTGATTCTTCAGTATCTTTAGTGCTTTTTCTAGAATATGTTTTCAGTTTTATCTTTTTTCCCCTCAGTTGCTACGAATTGTCCTAACTCCAATTAAGTGTGCCTTTTCCCCATTGATTTGAGATACTGCCTTTATCAGATGCTGTATACCCTTAAACGCTGTATATCTATATAAAGGGTGGCCTCACTTAGGGTCTTAAACCCTGGAGGGTGTTGGAGGCATGTAGAATTGTAGATTGGGGAAGAATTCCACAAACCAGTGGTTTTTGAACTTTTTTGCTTAGAACTTTTTGGTATCAAAATATGTGTTAAAGACCCCAAAGAGCTTTTTTTCATGTAGGGATATCTGTAGATATTTATCATACTAGAATTTAAAACTGACAGATTTTAAAGCTATTAATTCACTTAAGAAATAATACATATTTATGAAACGTAACTGTGCTTGCCAAACAAGATAATTTGTGGGAGAGTGGCATTGTTGTCTATTTCTGTAAGTGCCTGCAGTACCTGACTTCACAGAAATAGAGCCGGACTCTCTACTTCCTCATTCAGATTGCAGTGAGGCGTTTCGCGGGAAGTACAAGAGAAAATGTGGTGTGCTCACACAGATATGTGGTTGGAAAAGAGAAGCATGTTTCGTGCCTTTTCAGAAAATTGTGAATATTCTTCTTTGATACTACACCAAAACTCGATGACAAGTAGTAGTTTCTTAAAGTTCATTTGCAGTGTGGACTCTGCAGCTGTCTCAGAAAGAGCCCTTCATTCTCTGTTATGTCAGAGATTTGGGCTTCGTTGCACGGTAGATGGGTCTTTACCCACGTGTGGTTGTGTGACATCGTGGTTCACTAAGTTGTGCAGATCTCCCAAATGGTGACAAAATCAGAAAATCATACTTCCTTCCAGACAGCAATATACCTAAGTCTGCAGAAGCGGTTCAGATGCACGCCCCATTTCATCACACAGGGTACTAAAAGGGGGTGTCCTCAGTAGTGGAGATTTAATAAAAGCAATGATGTTTATCTCTTCGTCAGAGTCATCAAAGACATGCTTAAGTGACAGTAGCATTTTTTTTCTTTTTTTACTGCATGCGGATGGTAAAGAATATGATGACCACTGATACATTTTGGTGCTACTGCTTTGACTAAGATGCCAGCAACTTAGTCACCCTCGCATATTGCACCATTAGTGCAGGGAAAGGTGAAAAGTTTCTGAATATTATGAAAACAGTTTGGCTTTGCGGACTCCCTGAACGGGTTTTGGAGTCCTCCAGAGGTTCACAGCATGATTTAAAACTTGCTGACATCAGCCATAGTCCAGCCTTGTGGATACCAGAAGGAAAATCTGTCATGTGACAGGAAGCCAGGACCTGCACGTGTGTTTTAAGTCCTTGTCGGCACCCAGCATCTCTTGTTGTAACTGTATAAATGTGTTCACAGTCTTCCTGGGGATGGAGCCAGCCCTACAAAGCAGAGAGTTGGCATTGAGTTTCTGAAACCATGTCCTAGTGGTTATTGGAAAACTATTTGGCATTTTAAGCTACCATCTCCTTGACATTGAAATTTAATATCATGCAGTTGACACCGAATGATGATGTCAAGCTTCTGGGTCACGACTCCATCTGCTGGCAACCTGGCTTTGGAGCTTCTGTCAGCTGCATATTGTTGCCTCAGAGCAAAAGCAAAGGACTAGCACATTTGTCTAGACTCTAGAAGATGCATGGATCTTTTTTTCATGTTGGAATACTATATTCAACCATCAAACTGAAAATGAAATGCTTTGCGTAAAATTTAATTCATATTTTGACATTTACAAATCAGCGGGTCTAATAGTACCCTTCCTCTTCTTTCCTTTGTTTTCAGCGATGGAAGAGTTAATAGTTGAACTTCGTCTCTTTCTTGAACTTCTGGACCATGAATATCTAACATCAACTGTCAGAGAGAAAAAGGCAGTAATTACGGACATCCTGCTGAGGATACAGTCCTCTAAAGGTGCGTCTCATTCAAACTTCTGCTCTTTCCTCGTCCAGTCTCCTTTGCCTCTGAACCATCTTTCATTCTGCCATCTTTCTAAAACATATTCATTTCTTCGTTAACTTACGGATTTATTTTTTCATCAAGTTGTCATTGAAGGTTTTACTATGTGCCAGGTACTGTGTTAGTCTCTAGCTACAGAAAGATAAAGCCTTAAAGGAGCTGATAGAATAGTGGGTGTGTTGGGGGGCTCCCAAGAGCACCCCAACATTTGGAGATTCACTAGAAAGACTCAGCATATAGTTATACTTTCTCATCCCCAGGAGTTATGACCGAGGTAGTGAGGACACACAGTCAAATTGTGGGGGAGAAAGACGCAGGCGTAGCCTGGAGGAATGGTGTGCAGCCTTCCGTCTGCCGTCTCTCCCCCTTCAGTGTCACACAGAGCACACCCTTTCAGCAACGACAGTGCAGCAGCCTATGTGCAATGCTTCTGTTCTGGGCGGCTCACCACAGACTCGGTGCCCAAGGATTTTACTGGGGGCTGATCACGTAGGCACCTTCTGCCTGGCACTACCACATTTCCAGACTCCCAGAAAAGCAGGTTTATTAGGGTTCCCCAGAGAAAAAAAACCAACAGGAGAGACAGAGATAGATAGATGGAGACAGAGCTAGAAATAGAGATAAAGATATAAGAGGAGATTTACTGTAGGAATTGGCTCATGTGGTTATGGAAGCACAAAGGTCACACGGGGTCTGCAGTCTGCAGGAAGAGAACCAGGAGAGCCGGTGGTGTGATCCCATTTCAGTCTGAGAATCGGGGCTGATGGTGTAAGTCCCCTCCTGACTCCAAAAGCTTGAGAACCAGGAGTGCCAGTGTCTGAGGTCAGGAGAGCACGGACGGCTCAGCTCAAACAGAGAGCTTTTTTGCCCTTCCTCTACTTTTTTGTACTTTTTTGGGCCCTTAACGGATTAGATGATGCCCCCCCCACACACACACACACACATGGGGGAGGGCCACCCCCTTTATTCGGTTCACCAACTCAAATGCTGATCTCTTCCAGAAACACGCTCACAGAGACCCCTAGAAATAATGTCCTACCAGCTGTCTGGGCCTCCCTTGGCCCAGTCAAGTGGACACACAGAATTAACCAACACAGCAGGTGTTGGTCATACGCCACGTTGTTTGGCAGTCTAGGCACAGTGAACCAACTTGATCCATTAGGACAGTGGACACACTTTTGAAATCCTTATCCCAGATGCCAGCCAAGGGCCAGCCTTGCAAGTGGGCCTGCTGCCTGTCGCTTCTGTGCACAGAGAGTAGGACACAAAGGCAGGGAGTGCTTTCCTGGTAGGTACTGTTGTCGGGAGCGTTAGAGGGTAGGGAGAGCCCCTAAGAGGGGACTCCAGACCAGCTCAGTGAGAGAGAGAGAGAGAGAGAGATGGAGAGAGGTGGAGGGGCTGGGGCGGTTATTGCTCTTGGGGGCTGCGGTGTGAGACTCTGGTGGGTGCTGTAGGAGATAGTGGGTGAGATGTTCCTGTTAATAGCTTTATTGGGAGATGATTCACGCACCACACCCTTCAGCCATTTGAAGTGTACACTTCATTGGATTTTAGTGTGTGAGGCCATGGTGTGATGCAGTTGGATTTGTTGCCTGTTAGCCTGGACCTCGGCTGAAGGATTTGGCAGCACATTGAACATGAGGCACGTGAGGCCCTGGGTAGACGGGGGGACCTGTCACTCAGATGGGAGCACAGGATGAGGACCGTGTTTAGGGGGCAAAGTGAAACGGTCACTTTTGAAACAATGCTGTTTGTCTCTTGCCTGGACCCTCCTGGGTCTGCCATTGTCCCCGGCAAAGCCCAGGCCCTTAGGTGTCACATGTGTCTTCTCCACAAACTGGCTTTGGTCCCTGGCTTCCCGTCACCAGGTATATGACCTTGCCAAGTCACTTAATCTCTTGATGCTGCACTTTCCTCGTCTGTGACAAGGGTGGACAGTAGCATCTACCTCACAGGGATGGTGTGAAGAGTGAAGGAGAGTATATAAAATATTTCCAAACAGTGCCTGATGCATAGCAGACACTCAATAACTAATGACTTCTGTTTCCTGCTCTTGCTTTTATTAGCAGAGGTGGCATTTCTTTTCAACCTCATCTCCTCTGCGTGTACCCTTCCCGCAGCCATTCCACCACCGGTCTGAACAGTCCACAGTGTCTGGGCCTCTTGCCCCTGGACTTACTGTTTTCCCCTGATTCTCTCCTTCTCTTCCTCTGGCCCATGAGTTCCAACCCTTTGTCTCCATGCTTCGCTCTGAATGCATCTTCTGATATTTTCCAATTCACTAATTCTCTCTTCAGTGCTTTAATTTGTTTAAGTTTCACCCACTGATTGTTTTAGTGGTAGAGTTTCCATTTGTTTCCTCCCTCCCTCTCTCTCTCCCTCCCTCCCTCCCTCCCTCCCTCCCTCCTTCTCGCTCTCTCTTTCTTTCTTTCTTTTATTGTTTCCAGTTCTCTGCCAAAATTCTGGTCTCTGTTGCAACTTGTAGCGGTCAGGGATTTTGTCTTTACATGTCTCTGCCTAGTCTGTAGCATTGCGTTAAGTGGTTGTTTTTCTAGGCCTTTCCACGTGAGCTCTTGGCATATAACTAATACTGTGCCCAGATTGCAGCTGGTTTCTGCTTCTTACCCGCCTTCACTGATAAATGCTCACCACATTTTCCAACAGCCAGCTGTATATATACTTGACTTCCCACCTAGAATATGAGTGCCCTGAGGGTATGAGCTGGTATCAGTCATGCCAATTATAAAGTACGTTGGGTACAGTATGTGACTTTAAGAGGGCACTCAATACAAATGTACTGATTCCCAGGAAAGCGTCTGCCCCCTTTGTACATGGGTACGTGCTAACCTGAGTAGGAGTTCAGGTGAACAGCTCTCCTTTGAGAGGCTGTGTGGCGCTGGGAGGAATGTCGGCTTTGCTGCCAGCTTCATTTTTCTACCTGTTAATGTTTCAGTACTTTAACCTTTTCTTGTTTTTCCAGCCGTAGAGAATACTACCTTGTAGGATTGTTGTGAAGGGTTAGAGGAAATAAACATTTGCCAAGTGTTCGATACGGGGCTGGTAGCAGTGCCATCACCTCACCAGTCTGTGGTTTTGGTTGGTGCTTACAGGTTTTGAAGTGAAAGATCATGCTCCGAAGCAAGAGGCCCCCCACAGCCTGCCGGCCCCTCCCCAGATGCCCCTGCCCGAGATCCCGCAGCCATGGCTGGTGAGTTAGCCCCTCCATCGCAGCACGGTCACTGGCGCCTGGCTTCCTGGCTCTAGGGGCAGGCGACGCAAGCCCGGTTCTGAAGAAAGGAGGCTTCCTCGGACTGTTCAAGGGCTGCTAGTAAGAGCTGAGTGGGAGGCTTAAGGGGAGCCTTCCCTTAGGAAGCTGCTGTTTCTTTGAAAATTACTGGAGCTGCAGGTCCACGGAAATCTGTCCTTAGATTAAAAAACAAACAAACAAACAAAACAGAGGATTTGATAGGCAAAACAATGACAGTGGAGCCTGGGGACATGGGCCTCTTCCTGGGTTAACTGAATTTGAATACCTTAGTCTGAAACTTTGATAGTCATTGTTATGCTTCTCCTGGAATTAAAAAAAAACACAACAGTTGTTTTTTTTTTCCAGAAGAAAAATATGTTCACATTCCAGGAATGTGTATTTTATTTGACCTTATGTATTCAAAATTTGTTTTGGAGTTCTTGTGCCACTTTTGCAATCTGGGAATACTCGCACACGCAATTCTTCATGTCCCATTCAGCCTTTTCTGCCTTTTGCTGTTTTCTAATTTGCTTACTCAGGGAAATTAGACTTTCATTCAAAATTAGAGCAATGTCAGTTCCTTGGCAGTTCTCTTTCTAATGTTCGCTTTCTCTATGAATCACCTAATTATCTCTCCAGCAGGATAAAAACTGCAGGAAAGCAGGGCCACGTGTCATTTACTTCCGTCCTGCCTGGGCCCCAGCTGATGGCTGATGTCCAGTAGGCACTCCGTAATTACCATTTTAGAGGAGGGCAAAGGAAATTAGCACTTACTGGGTTCCTACCACACATCACAGAGCATGCTTGTTATTTTTTCACTTACAATTGCATTGAATCCTGACTGCTTGACCTCAAAGAACCCCTGATTTAACTCTACACATGTACGTAGTATGTATACCCATTTTCCAGAAAAGGAAATTGAAGTTCGGTGAAGAGATCTGCTCAAGGACCTGTGCTAAGTAGGAAAGGCACACATTGTAACCTGTTCTTTGGATTTCAGATCTAGCCTGTTGTCACCAGTACTGTTGGGAGGTGTGTGGCTGCAAAGCTGATGCCAGCCTGACTCATAGATGTGAGAAGGCTGTGTGAGGTGCTGTGAGCCTGTCCCGGAGTCACAGTCTAGGCAGGCAGCGGGGTGCAGGGTGCAGACTGGGGAGCACGCTGTCTGCTTCTGGTGTCAGCTCTGCACTGACTCACATGATTTAGACCGTGACTTCCTGTGCCTCAGACGCCTCATTACTAAAATGACTATTGACAGTAGGACCTATTTCATATGATTGTTGTGGAGAATGAGCTGATATATCGCAAATGCTTAGAATACATGCCTGGTATGTAGCAAACCCCATGTAAGAGCTGGTGGTACCAGATAGAGCAGCGCTTCTCAAAAGTTCACGTCCAAATGGCTCCCCGGGGAGCTGTTAAAATGCACATTCTGACCCACTTGGTCTGTGGTGTACATGGGCCTCAGGTGCTGCATTTCTAACACGATCGATCGCTGCAGAAGGTAGGACACCCCCCAAGGGCAATTAAGGTCATTGGTATGCCTCCCGCCCAGGAGTGCCACTGTTCTCACTCAGGCACACTTTCTTTTAGCCTTTCTCACCTGTGTTGTCTGGTGCAGGGCCATAGCTTCCGGTGGCCACTGGGCATTTGTGGTGTGGCTGGTTCTAACTGGGGGGTATGTGTGTGTCTAATTCACACTGGATTTAGAGGCTTCTGAAAAAAGGACATAAAATATCTCCTGAAGTTTTACATTAATTATGTGTTGAATTATAATGTTTTGGATATGCAGAGTGAAAGAAGCTATATTAATAAAATCAGTTTCATAAATTTCTATGGTTTGTAGGAAAATTTAAATTATATGTGTGACTCACATTTGTAGATTGCATTCTTTTTTGGTTCTATACATTTAATCTTCCCACAGTTGAGCACATATTGAATATATGACCTTTATATGCTGTTTTTCTTTTTTTAACATTATATGTTATATATTTTTTCTTTTTTATAAACTTTCTAATTATTTTTTTTTAACTCGCATCCTGTTTGTTGTAGAAACTGACTTGACTATTTTTCATTGTCTCATTTGTTGTTTTTAGATATAATGCAAAATTCTAGTCCAGAAGTATGTCAACAGTATTAATTTTATAAACTGATATTTATCTAAAAGATAAAGAACTAGTTGAGAACTCAGTGGTTCATGAGTTTCCTGGTGTACTTTTATTTCTCTAAGCTTGTCTGAGCCTGTGGCTCTCCTACGATATGTCTCAATATGCTGGGTCTAGTGTGTCATCGTCACATTTCAGATCAGGAAAGTGTTTGGAGATCGAAGGTGAAATACAAACTTCTTGAAGCAGCCAGAAGCGTAAAGATGGGTATACGAATTTCATGGGCTCTCCTTTAGTGCCACATAAAGTGCCATCTAACTGGTCTGGCCTAAAATACATGTCCCAGTTGTGCCAGGCCAGATGGAGTGAAGGTGAGTTTCAACGCCAATTTCAGATGAAGAATACTCATTGAATGGTCAGCATTTTCTTCCATTTCTATGGATTTTTTTCCCCTCAAATACAGTTTATTATTCATTCTCACTCACCCTCTTTTTCTCTCTCCTCTCCGTGTCTGTCACCCTGCCTGGCATATGCTCTGCCCCCGCCTTTGGCTGTGAAATGGCCGTGGCAGACTGCCCTGGTTGAAGGTATATGAGAAGCCTACCTACCGATGGAATCAGAACTAGTAGTTGGTTAATCAAAGAGGTTGGTTAAAGTAAGGAATTGTCAAAAAGGTATACATTTGCTTTAACTACTTTAGGTTTAAACCAATACATTCTGAGTAGCAGTTTGACCAGTGGGTGACGTCTCCCTATTGGTGCCCAACGCTTGGATGTCCAGTGGGTTTTTTCTCCTCCTCCAAGCCGTGCCATTCCTTGCTAGAAACTAGTAGGATTTTGATATAGGGTCAAGGGCTGTGTTCTTTGAGTATGGGGCTGCACAGTGGATTCTACTTGTCTTTTCTGCATAATCTGTACTCATGATACATTGTTAGTCATGTCCAGTTTTTGTTTCCCTAAAGTGGAGTAAAGGTTAGACACTTGTGAAACAATCGAGTTCCAAGGCTCTTAAATTTGATGGGTGCTGTGCAGGTCTCTCACAGCTGACATGCCCACCCTGAAGTGAAGAGCTTTTCTTTTTGCACAGTTTGTCCTGACTGGACCTTTCTAAAGCATCTTAGAGAATTATTAGCTCTCCTTTGCACTCATTTTTAAAAAAAAGATTTTATTAGGGAATTGGGGAAGGGGAAAGCCAAGTTGTTGTCCTTCAGTCTTAGTTGTGGAGGGCGCAGCTAGCTCAGCTCCAAGTCTAGTCGCCATCTGGTCGCCCATCGGCAACTCGTGGCTGCTCAGCTCAAGGTGCTGTGTTCAATCTTAGTTGTGGGTGGACATAGCCCACCATCCCATGCAGGAGTTGAACCGGCAACCTTGTTGTTAGGAGCACGTGCTCTCACCAGCTGAGCCATCCTGGCAGCTCAGCTCGGGTGCAGCCCACTGGCCCATGTGGGAATCAAACTGACGACACTGTTGCTCAGAGCTTGCACTCTTAACCAACTGAGCCACTTGGCCGGCCCTGCACTCATTTTTTTCACTGGTTTATTTATGTAGTAATCAAATTAATTAAAGTAATAATTATAATGTTAAGTATGAGACTTTAAGGAATGAGGCTGACTCATAGTAAATGTACAACTCAGCTGATGGGACTCTCTGTAGGCACCCGGGGGGGAGCCTGGTGACCATGAATATTTAGCGTTTTACGGACACCAGTCAGGGCATTTGAATGGGAAAATGAAGAACATCTGTCAGTTCAGCCCGTCAGTTAAGCGGAGATTGGTTAAGATAGCTCTACTGTGTTTTTCCAATATTTTTACAGTGAATTCCTTATTCAGCAAGTAAGCCAGTCATTCAGTAAATCCAGCCTGCCTTTGGTGAGCTGGCCTCTGGCCAGTTGGCCATTTGCTGTTGGCAGATTGTCTTCCAGGACAATTAGCTTGGAGTGGAGTAAAGATGGGATGGGTGGGAAGCTGTGCCAGGCAGAGGGTGTGCCCTACATTAAGGCACAAGCCAGAGAAAGAGCCAGATGGTCAGGGAGCAGCATTGCAAGCACCTCTGTGCTGGCAGAATACACGGTGTGGGTGGGTATCTGCAGGTGAGGCTGGGACACATCCCAGCGGTTAGGTCATGAAGAGCCTGTGGTCACGCAGAGTGGTTTGGAATGGTCAGCAAAGCAACTGTGCATGACTGAAGGGCACAGACAGACAGACAGACAGACACACCAGGGGTGCCAAAAATTGTATACACGTTTTAAGAAAGGAAAACTGTATTAAAATTATAATAATATAGACCGATAACCAAAGATGAATACAAGTCACTTTTGACTTCTGCAATTACAAGAGGTGCTCACAATGGTTCCCATCAGCATCCAGACACTTCTTATGACGGTGAACTACTGCTTGAGCAACGCTGACCAAAGTGTCCACTTGTACACATTTTTTTTGGCACCCGTGGTATAGATAGTGTAAGATTTATGATTCTCCAGCCACTTATTATTTCTCATTCATCTGAAATGCTGTTGCATTTTTCTAATGTAGCATATATTGACCGAGTACTGCCTTTATTGTAAGTTTTTATGTTAGAAACTCTAAAAAAATGAGTCATCTTTTATTTTTATCCGTTTAGTGCCTACCAGTGCCTTGTGCAGTTATTACGACCTGTCTCATGACGTTCTCCTTCTCCCCGGCAGACCTCTAAAACTTACTCATCTTGCATAACTGAAATTTTTCCCCACTGAACAGCAACAGCACCTGATTTCCACCTTCTTTTAATGAAACGAAGTTTAGCCTTGTAAAGATGGTGTTTGTTTCTGTAGTTCTCTGTGTTTCTCATGTTGCACAGCAGGAAATGTCGATGACTACTC